TAGGTATAGTGATTTTTCTTTTACTAATAATTAATTTTATAAACTATAAATTTTCGATAATTATGAGTAGTGTTCCGATCGGGTCGGGTTTTGGCCAACCCGAAATTTTCGGTTCGGGTTAAAGCTTGAACTGACCCGACCAGAACCCAACCCGAAATCAACCCGAAAATATATATGTAAATAAAAAAAAGAAGACAATTTCTACGTATTTGGACACGGGGTGTCTATACACTAGGTAATACAAAAGTATTAGAAAAGCCAATCAAAATTCAATATCAAGTGTAACATGCACTGGTTGAAAATCGAAAAAATGGCACCAAATCGTCAAACATTTAGCATAATATTCAGCAAATATTCAGCAAACATTCGTCAAACATTCGGTAGCCGAATGTTTGGCGAATATTTGACGAATGTTTGCTGAATATTTGCTGAATAGTATGCTAAATGTTTGACGATTTGGTGCCATTTTTTCGATTTTCAACTAGTGATGTAAATCTTTTTTGTGTAACTAAAGAATTTTTTTAAAAAATGCAATTTTCGCCTATGAAACTGCCTTTGAGGCTCTAAGTAAAAAAAATTTCTTTGTATAATAATTTTTTTAAATTGTACTAAAATTTAGTACAAAGGGCTTACGGATACCCATTAAACTAACTCTTTTAAGTTCACACACTTTAAAGTAACGTTAGAGCTGATTTTGATTGTGATCAAATAGTAGAACTGATTACTTTTAACTCTAGTCAAATTTGCAGATCATTAGACCAGATAAAAAATCGAATTTGGCCAAATGATCTGCAAATTTGACTAGAGTTATTAGCAATCGTTTTTGCGTTTCTTAAATACAAATAACTCTTAATATAAGAAACTCAAGGTTCCATTCAAAAATATTATATAAGGTTTTTTTTTTATAAAATCTCTTATGCCAAAAGTTTCTTATACCGAGAGTTTCTTTTCAAAAAAGAGATTTACTTTTATCATCCTTATTGCAATGCACAATATACAATACTAAAATAAATGTATGAAAAATATATATGCGTGCAATACTTTGCTATCCCACTTTAAAAGTTAAACACATTTATTATCAATGTTACTGGAACCTTATCAAAAAAAGATTAATATAATATTATACGGTAAAAAGTGTTTTCACATGAAATTAACAGAATTTTTCTTTAATCATTCGAACGGATCTGAAAAAAAGTATAAATTTTAAATACAGTATATTATTAATTCTAATAAAAAATTATTAATCTGTAATCAAAATTCACAGCTCAAGCTCTAAAGTTCAACAATGCCTCGACACACTTTTAAATACAGAAATACTCAACGTTTTATATATAATCCTTGTACATGTCAAGCTGATAAAGGAATTTTGATAATTTAGAATATATTGAAAGAAGCTAGATAAGAATAAGAAATTTTAAATGATAATTTAGATGAATATATTAAAAGAACCTAGATAGGAATAAAAAAATTAAGGTTGGTTCTTTTATTAACTACCTGGTCCAAAAACACGGGAAAAATAGATGTTGCGTATCGTTACATTACATGCTTACTAATTGGATATCGATATACGTATTCCAATATTTGATTTTTTCACTTTATATACACTTCTATTTTTTAAGGCCTTTTCAAGTATCAAAATTTACGATTATAATGTCTATTCAAGACAACTATAAGCATGCCAAGTCTTTCTGTTCATCTCTTTTAGAAAACTTAATGGACTTAAAATCTGAAAGTGGGACTTTGGTGACACTTACATATGCACAAAGTCTTGATGGTAAGATTTCGGGAAATAATGGTCAACAGTTAATTTTAAGTTGTGAAGAATCTATGATTATGACACATAGGTAAATAATGAGTCATGATTATTATCATGGCAGGGACGGCAAATGTTTTTATTACGTAATTGAAAACAAGTGATTAATCATCACTTGTTTTAAATCGGATAAAAAAATGGTTTAACCTTTTTTTTTACATCTATTCATTAGATAGAAATAAGTTATTTATCAGATGTAGCAACCAGTGACCATTTTTATCTGATCATCTGTGTTTTTTTTAACGTTATCTCAGATCGTGGATATTCTGATTTCTTCCCAGGTTCATATTATACCTTAATGCTATTCATGAGATAGTTAGTAATTAAAATGGATTCATTATATAAATATTGTAGAGATTAGAGCCGATTAATATAAAATTAAGTCAGTTGTGATACTCAGATAAACCTATTTTCATTAGAATATTTACGTTCAAATTCGGTTAATGGTTGAATTCAACCCGCTTAAATAGTAACTGATTTCGATTACATGTAAATCCAATTGGTTTTCAAATTTTTAAATCGCAACTGGTTCGTGTAAAGAACCAACTCGAATATGGGGTCTGGCAATAATGGTAAATAATAGCATGAAGTATAAATATGAACCAATGTCGAGGGGGTTTTTTTAAATGAATAGTTTAAGAAATTTTAATTCCTGATTTATGAATCTTTAAGAAATTTTTACTACTTTAACATCGATGAGATGCCCTCAGGCACTTTTATTATACTTTGGTTTGGTTTTCTTATTGAATATTTATTTTAAACTTTTAGATTAAGAGCTTTGCATGATGGTATATTAGTTGGCATTGGAACATTATTGAATGATGACCCACGGCTAACAGGTATATTTGAAATTGGTTTTTATTTTTATTTTTATAATTTTATCTAATTAATTTATTGTGTTATAGCAAGATTATTAGGTCCAGATGAGCCAGAATCAACTATTCAACAACCACAACCCATAATATTAGATTCAACATTACGATTTCCTCTTTCAGCAAAAGTGTTATTACAGTCTAAAAAATCTCCTTGGATTTTCACAAGACACGATCATGATCCAAAAAAACGAGAGGTTTGTTTATTCGATTTTTTTTATTTTATTTTATTGAAACAAGTTTTCTAAATTAGAGTCCTTAAAGTTACTAGAAAAAACAGGAGCAAAAATTATTTCAATTGATTCTGACCAAAATGGTATGTTAAAAATAAGTTAATAATTTTGCAAATAATATTTATTAATTATTATATAACTTTTTACTAGGTCAACTTTCTATAAATCATCTTTTATCAACATTATACTCACCACCTTTTTCAATAAATTGTTTGATGGTAGAAGGCGGTGCAAGAATTATCAATTCTTTCTTAAAAAGTGGTAAAGTAGATCTATTAATTGTTACGATTTCTCCTGTATTTGTTGGAGAAAATGGTGTTTCAGCTATTATTAGTAATAAAAATAATTCTACGGTAAGATAAATAATTAAGATTGTTATTTCTTTTTAAAGTTTTCATTTATTTTATTTTATTTTTAATAGGAAATTGAAAGTAATAACTTACCAAAATTAACAAATGTTATTTATGAAAAATTTGGTAGAGATATTGTTTTGGCTGCTAATATTGTTGGCATTTAATGTTAAAACTATTGATATTTAATAAAAATAATTTTTATTTGATTTTTATTTTTATTTAGTTTTTTATTTTTATTTTTTGTAACTTTCTTGCAGGTGTATGTGGCTCATACCGAATATGAAGTCAACTGTGGTTAGTCAAAAAAAATTTTTTTTTAAATTGCCTTACGTCAATATGCTATATGAGGCTACCACTATTATTAATATATTTTTTGGCCGAACTAGTTTATTTTAGCCAATACACTATATAAATTATGTTAATAGTATTGAAGTTATTGAAGTTAATAAAAAGATTGTTTTTTTCACAAAATTTTTCTGATTTATTTTTTGTTTTTTTTTAAAAATAAGCTTGGAATTTTAAACCATTTTATTAAATATTATTACAAAGAGTCACATATGTTAATAGATTGTATTTTATAAATTTATTATTACTGAATAATTTTAAGATGAACTAAAAATTCTCCGATTTTTGTCGTATAATTTTGTGAATTATTAATTATAAGTCATCTAGAGATTTATTAGATGTTTTTTATAGAGTTTATTATTTTTGTTTGATAAAATTTTATTGATTGTTGATTGAGAAATATCCGAACTATAATGTCAATATTACTTTGGACCCATGATTATTAAGACAGTTGTAATTACTAACTTCTTTTTTTGAACTTTTTCCTAATTTTAGTTCTTTCGACTGTTTAACAAAATTATGGTGGTTGTACTATTATGAGAGAACCTTCACTAAAGTTTAATAGATTTATATATTCATTATTATTATACATTTTATTAATGGTAACTGATGTAGGGTTAATTAATATTCATACACTAATCAGAGATTCTCTTTATTTTTGATTCGTTTGACTGCTAGGTTTACTCTTTTAACACCTGTTCTCCTTTTTATCGACTTCTTAAAACATAAACACATTTCAAAAGTAGTAATTGTAATTTATCTGTTATTAATTATATAAGAGTTTTACAAATTTTATTCAAAATAATGAAGTAGAAATTCGATATGTAATACAAACTCTTTTCTAGATTATTAAATATTACATCAAAATTTATCGGTCGCACTCCTGTTTTTGTTTTTTTACATTTTCAGTATAAATTTTATTTATCTAAATTAGAATTATAAGAAATTACGCTTAAAGTTATGCAATTAGTTATATAAATTATTATAAGGGTTCATGATCACAATTCACATTACTTTCGGTTCACCCAACATCATAGTTAGGCCAGACCAATTTGATTTTGTGGTTTACATTACTCCCCTCCCCTCCCTTCCCCTCCCTCATAGTAAAAAAAAAAAAAAAAATTTTTTTCGGAGAAAAATTTTTTTGAAAATTTTACTATATAAAACCTCCCCCCTCTTTCAAAATGGAGATGTAATGTAAATCACCAGATGGTAAAGTAAATCAAAAAAAAAAAAATCCACCGATTAATGTGGCATTGTTGATTTTTAAAAAGAGTGTGAACGGAGTATAAGATGGGCAATGATGAGTTGATAGTGACCGATAGTGATGGGCACGCGCGTAATTTTTTTGGATCCTGCGCGGGATTTTTACTATGATAAGCAAAATTTAGATCACCCGGCCTGCATTAGCCATAATTTGGGCTAGAAGATCTTCATATTATAGGCGGAAATTTCCAGTTGGAGCGCTGTGATTATTGAATTAAGTGATAACAAAGTGATACTCATAAACTGCTTGGCTCAAATGATCCAGGTTCAGGTTAGTTTTGGGTTATTCTAGTTAATCTGTTCAGATCACTACTCATAAATAATGATGCCTCTCGAAACTATTTTGGTGTGTCGAAACTGTTTCGATAAATCCCATAGTATCGAAATATCGATATCGAAACTCGAAAGTGGTATCGAAACTCGAAAGTAGTATCGAAACTCAAAAGTGTATCGAAACTCAAAAGTTTATTAAAAGTCAAACGTGTTTATCGAAGTTAGGTATTATTGAAAAGTTGTCTTGGTATTTTTGCCACTCATAAGATTATCCAATCCCGCATAAAAATTGTTTCATAATTTCAGGCCGAATCATGTTGATCATGGGCCAAGGTTATCTTAATGCCAGTTCATACCTCATAAAAATTAAGGATTATTGAACTTTGAGAGAAGATATATCGACAACCCCCTGACCAAAATCAATGGAAATTTTTTTATTTAAATTATATGAATCTATAGACTTCAAACAAAAAAAATTTAATCGAAATTGGTCAGATGGTTGTCGAGATATCTTCGCTCAAAGTTAGTAAACAATTCAAAACGTCTTTCAAAATAGAAGCTGCGCCAAAATTTTTTTAAAACTTTGAATGAAGATATCTCGACAGTCACCTAACCAAAATCGATCAAAAATTTTTTATTTGAATTCTACAGCCTATAGAATTCAAATAAAAAAATTTCATCGAAATTGGTCAGTGGTTGTCGAGATAACTTTGCTTAAAGTTATTAAACAATTCAAAATGTCGATCAAAGTAGAAGCTGTGCCAAAATTTTTTTAAAACTTTGAGCGAATATATCTCAACAACACCTAATCAATGTCAATAAAAATATTTTGGTTGAATTCTCAGGTGGTTGTCGAGATATTTTTGCACAAAGTTTAAAAAAACTTTGGCGCAGCTTCTATTTTAATAGTTATTTTGAAATTTTTTACTTATTTTGAGTGAAGATATCTCGACAACCACCTGACCAATTTCGATAAATTTTTTTTTATTTGAATTCTACAGATATATAGAATTCAAACAAAAAATTTTTTATCAATTTTGATAAGATGGTTGTTGAAATATCTTCAAAAATCTTTTAATTTCAAGAGAGTATGAATATCTGATATCAATTTCCTAATTAATATTAAAAACAAAGATAAAGTTATTTCATTTTAAAAAAATATTTACTTTGATAAAATATTTCATTTTAAAAAAATATTTCATAAAGTATTTCATTTTTATTAAAATTAGGGTTAGGTTTAGACCTAGGTTAGAGTATAATTTAGACTGATTTTTTAGTACTAGTAAACAAAATGATATCATGTAGATCACTGAGTTATGTCCTTAAGTTTCAATATAACTTTTGAGTTTTAAGAGTATCATTAGTTCTGATATAAGTTTTGAGTTCTAATATGAGTTTCGAGTTCTGATATAAGTTTCAAGTTTTGATACAAGTTTCAAGTTTTGATATAAGTTTTGAGTTTTGATATAGGTTTCAAGTTTCAAAAAGTTTCAAAAATAAAATTTTGTCAAAACTAGTTTTGAGACAGTTTCAATATCGATGTTCTCAAAAGTTTTGAGTTTTGAGAGACATCATTACTCATAAATGGAATATAAAAATTTATAAGCAATTTTACAATCACTGATCAAATTATTACTTTTAATCTTAGTAATCATACTATATTTTATATATTATTGGTTTAGATTCTATTTAATCTTACTGTTCTAACTAAATAATCATAGAAATTAGAAATTTCTACCTATATGTTATTTTGAATATCTGCTAAAAATTAGCTTATTCTGATTTAATAAGTCTTTGATTTAGCATTATTAGTATCATTTGAATACGTATATTTGGTATTTTAGTTTGTTAACTAATCAACTTTAATAAAAATAATAAAAATGTCTAAACATAAATAGACTTTTTATAACACAAATATATATATACATATTAAATCTAAAATATTAGTTTATGCTCTGTATGCAACTAATTTTGTTAGTATATTAAGAAGAATTAAGAAGAATTAATCTTTGAGATTTTATTAAGTTAGAAATTTGAAGTTTTTTAAAAGAATTTGAAACATCTCATATTTATTTACAAAATAATATTATTTACTATCAGATTGAACAATAACAATTGGTTTTTTATAATAATTATTAGAACTATTATAAATAAAGCAA